AATCGTGTAGCCCACCTCGCTTTCATGTTCACCCAGTGAGGTCTGTATAAATCGGTGGTTATTTGGGATGCAGTTTTGTGGGCGGGTCGAGTTCAAGGTCACTCAGCGAGCTACGGTGATCGAGATCGTCGTCCCGTCTACCTCTCTGGCTGTCGTTAATGCATTCCATGGGCCGCGGTTTTATCTTATCTCTAACCATATTTTCTTTGAGTTTCCATTAAGTATTCTGTCAGCAACAGACGCCTTTCTTCTCTCACGTATTGATTAAATAACCATCGAAAGAAATCAAGATGCTTCCGTTTTCGAATCGGAATCGCTTGAGGCTGCTGCCGGTACAGCACAATTGGTCATCTCTGGTGTTTGAATTAGTGATAGTAGAATGACAGAACGCAAAAAAGGAACGTACAGAGGCGCTAACAAGCTACTAATATGGCCCAAACCCCATGCCGTCAAGTAGAAGCGAAATTGCGAAGATTTAAATTCCCGCATAGTCAGCCGCAAAGTTAAGCGAACTAATTAACGAATGTAAAAGTGCAAGGCTAGCTCAATATTCTGAACTATTCGAATGCTTGCGCTGCAAAAATAAAAATAAATGACCGAAATATGCTAATTGAGGGGATGGTTGCTAAGTCAGAATGGGAGCGTAAAGGGCTATAAATTCAGTGCAAAAGTGGAATTTCATGAATCCAGTTGCAAAAATTTAATTACATTTTATTGAAAATATTTTAAAACAGCAGATAATGCTTGCTAACCCATTTCAAATAGTTTGTGGTTTTTACCATTATTTTGAAAACTTTATTGAAGGCAAATACATTATGTGTAGAAAATTATGTTAAAGGTTTTTTAGGTAAAAAACTTAAATTCCTTGTTTTTAAAACAAATTTAACTTAAAAAAGTTTACAGGGCACAAAAAGTTTAAGTGAGCGGAAGCAGGATGCTGATTGGTTAATAAATAGCTTGCATAAATAGATTCTATGTGGGCTTCAAGGAAGTTTTTGTGCATTAAACAGACCAATAAAACGACAAATAATCAGTGCTTGCAACATGTAAGTGGTTAATCTTTAAACCAATAAAAGTGTGAGAATCATTGATTAAATTCTGCATTAAAGTAATATAAATGTGGTTGTATTGCTTTAAGCTCTCGTCTGAAAGATATGGCTCCTAAGGTTGTGTCTGGAAAAGCTGCGAAGAAGGCGTCCAAGGTGAAGGTTCCCAAGGCCGACAAAGCTAAGAAGAAAAGGAGGAAGGAGAGTTACGCTATCTATATTTACAAGGTCTTGCGTCAGGTACATCCGGATACGGGTATTTCCTCGAAGGCCATGTCGATTATGAACTCCTTCGTTAACGACATCTTTGAACGTATTGCCGCTGAGTCCAGTCGCCTGGCGCATTACAATAAGAAATCTACAATCACGAGCAGAGAAATTCAAACCGCTGTCCGGCTACTGCTACCGGGTGAATTGGCGAAGCACGCGGTGTCCGAGGGTACCAAGGCAGTGACGAAGTACACCGGCTCAAAGTAACAGGCTGCGTGATGGCAAATATTGTTGTGATTATGCTACCATTCCTTGCTAAATACAAGCATAATT